TTTATCCAAACTAATTTATATATAATATCCATTGTATTTTTCCCCTTTTAGATGTTTTCTAGCACTCTGATTTAAATCACTTTCTAAAAAAAAAACAGTTGCCACTTAATGTGAAATGAAAAATTCCTATACTTAATCGGTAACATAATAATTTGGAGTTGTAAAGTAAGAGCAAAACGAAAAAAACTTATTAATATATCGAATAGGATTTACCTCGGAAAAAGCATTTTAAAAATATAAATATATATTGCCTATTATGTACCCGGTAGAATAGGGAGTTTGCTGTTGACATTCGTGGGTTTAGTAATCACGAAACATTTTTAGTCGCATTGAATTGTGGATTTTTCAAAGAGCACTCAAATCTTTCAAGTTCAGTCAACAGTTCCGTATAGCGTGCTAAGTAGCAATATAAACATTTTCAAGTTTTTAATTTCGTAGTATTCGGCTGACAGCACGAAAGTCTCTTTTTTTTAACATGCACTCGCTAATTGGACATTAGTCGTTAAAACGTTCTCGTCCAAATAAATATGAAACTTCACAAATACGCTCTGTCGTTCTTTATGCCCTCAAAGAATGTTTGTAACATTCCTTTTTTAAATAAAATTCCTCTGGTTATGTTTTATTTAACGTAGCTTTTCGATTACGAGTTAGGCCGCTTCGACAATTTAGAATGTAATTACTGCAGGAAATTAGTTGTTTGGTTTAAAGTAACACCCAACTTTTTTAATTTTAAATAGAAAATGCCACCGACACGCGAACAAATTACTTTTACCGTTAAACTGAGATCTGCATTTTATTTCGTACAAAGCTATTATTAGAATTCATATTTGAGTATGAAATAGTAGGCGAAATGAAAAATTAAAAAATTAAAGTTGCAGTGAAATCTGGATGCCGGAGAGGAATGTCAAAAATGATATATATATATATTATATATAGAATATATATATAGAAAAACTATTGTTTTGGCGACGTTTCGGTAAGATCACACTTGCCATGGTCAAGTCACATTAGTTCTTCTTCTTCGTGATGTTCCAGGCGAACTGATACGAAACACCACCAAGAAGCAGAACTAATGTGATTTGAGAATGGCAAGTGTGATCTTGCGGAAACGTCGCCAAAACACTGGTTTTTCTAAAAATCAAAACTATTTAACGCGGAGTCAAACACCAGGAAAACAACTGAAACTAGCTTCCGCGGAAATTTCAAATCCAATATATATATATATATATATATATATATATATATATATATATATATATATATATATATATATATATATATATATATATATTATATATATATTATATATATTATATATATATATATATTACAACAATTATTAGTGTTGTATCGGGTATGCGGTCTGTTATTTGAAAAAAACTCTTTTTTCTTTTATTTCCCCATATTTCGCTGATTTTTTGTCGATTTCATCAGGAGACAAGTATGGTTAAAATTTGTATAAATATAAAGTGAGAATATACAATGAATTACTTCCAGATTTAGAGTTAAAAATATTAAAAAATGTTTTTGTACATCATATGTTCAAAACAGTGCTAAAACAAAAACAATTAAAACACAATAAATTACACATTAAAAATATACAGGGTAATTTAAAATATAATTGTAAAACAGAAAAATTATTTTAACATACTAAGAATATTACAGTAGATATTGCTCAACTGTCCCGTGTCTACCTTGTAATTTACTGCATATTTTCCTCTATTTTTATTTTTTGTAATTATTCTCTTGCTGTAGAACCCTGATATTTGAATAGTCAAATTAATGCCCAGTTTTTAAGTCATAATCAACTGCCGCACATGTATTCTTCTTTTTTGTGCAGTCACTTTTGTGCTGTGTGACCCTTTGTTTTAGTCATTGAGAAGTTTGGCCAACATAACAGCTCTAGCAATCCAAACAATGCAGTTTGTAGATAACATTAGTTTTAAATCATGAACATGAACATGAACAAAACATTAGTTTTGTTTACAGTTGGTGTCTTGTCTTTTACTTTTAGAAAACAGTTGTCGGTTTTCTAATAAAGTATATTGGACAATTTTAATGTTGGTAAATTTTTTAAATAAACTAGTCACAGAAGGTGTTAACTGTTTTATTAATGGTAATTTTTTATATTGGATTTTTTGTACTGCTCCGATATCAGTGGGACCGTCAAAAATGTCTGAGTTAAATATCAATTTTTTAAGGATATGTTTTGGGTATCCATTATTTTCAAAGATGTTTAACAGCAAATTTAAGTTTCTCTTTATGAATTTATCATCACCAATATCTTCTTCTTCTTCTTCAAGTGTCCTGTCCGTAGCGAACGTTAGCTATTAACAATTCTGAATGGCAATTCTGATCTTGTTTGAAGCGCTTCTAAATAGTTCGACCGATGTGAGCCCAAACCTCTTCCGCAGATTTTGGAGCCACGAGTGTATTCTCCTGCCTAGCCCCTCGCTTACCGTCTATTTTTCCCTGGACAATCAATTATAGCAAACGGTACTTATCGTGTCTCAATATGTGGCCTAGATATTCAAGCTTTCTTTGTTTAATTGTATTCACGATTTCTTTCTTCTTTCCGATTCTTTGGAGTACCTCTATGTTGGTGACATGTTTGGTCCAGGCTATACGAAGAATGCGTTGGTACACCCATATTTCGAATGCTTCTAGTTTTCTCGTGAGCGTCTCCATCAGTGTCCAGGTATCCACACCATACAGTAAGATCGAAAAAATGTAGCATTTAACTAGACGTAGTTTTAGGGGAAGAGACAAATCCTTGCTTATGAGGAGCTTTCTCATATTGCTAAATGCTGCTCTAGCTCGTTCTATTCTCGCCTTAATTTCTGTGGCCTGTTCCGATTTTGCATTTACGTTGGTGCCAAGGTACACATAAGATTCTACATGGTCAATTAGTATGTTACTTATCCGTAATTGTCGAGCAGGTTGTTGCTTTTTGCTTATCAGAATCCACTTTGTCTTCTTGAAGTTGAGGCTCAAGCCGTATTCCTCACTAACTGAATAAACTCTTTCCATTACCTGTTGTAATTTGTCTATGCTACTGGCAAGGATCACCGTGTCGTCGGTATATCTTATATTGTTCGTCACCAATATGCGTTACACTATTGTTCATTGCAATCACTGTATGAAACTTTTGATGAGTAGGATGATTTGAAAAAAAATTTAAATGTCTTCCAGAGTGTGTTGGCTTTTGATACCAATCTATCAATATTTTGTTTTATTCAGTTCTGATTAATTTGGTGTCTAGAAATGCTATCGAACAATCGTTTTCAATCTCTAAAATAAATTGGATATGTTTGTTAAAGTTATTGAAAATGTTCAAGGTATTTTGAATTTGTGAAGTAGGAACAGAACATATAAGATCTTCTACAAATTTTTTAATGAAGGGTAAAGAGAAAGGCAATTGTGTTATAATGACATCCAGCAAATATTCCAAAATGATGGTTGATATTATGGGGCCAAGTGGACTACCCATAGTTGCACCAAATATCTGTCAATAGAATTTATCATTAAAGCTAAAATAGGTGTTCTCAGAAGCATAATTCAGAAGTATTAAAAAACTATCCTTAGAAATTGTTGTATAATTTTGAATGAGATTCCATTTTGACTGTATTATATTACTCACCAGATCTATTGGTATATTAATAAATAACGATATGATATCTAACGAAATTAAAACATAATCTTTCGGTAAAATCAACTCTCTGACATCATTAACAAATTCGTTATCCCAAAATGATGATTTTAATGGACCATTTTAAAAATTAACATTGTAAATTGTTTCTACTTTCTTTATAAAAATTCGATCTATAACGTGATTTTTAATATTCTGTATTACCACCTCTATTTTGAATTAATTACTATTTAACTGCGAATAAGCCACAATTAAACGTTAAAATACGTTTATTGACGTTTCAACTTCCACTTCGGAAATCGTTCTCAAAATACAAACAGTAAATTAAACAAATTTTGTTTTTTTTGTTGCTTAATGAAAAATTCTTCTAATAATTTAATTTTATCTGACTCATTTATATTGACAATTCAAGTCAAAAATTCTTCTATTAATTTAATTTTATCTGACTCATTTATATTGACAATTCAGACATACATTATGCATTTTAAAGTAGACGACTTTAAAATGATATTGCCAATATTGTTGAGTTGCGCTACTGGGAGTAATTTTGTTCGCGGAAAGCAAGCTGTTTATCTGCTCAACCTCGAACAATGAAGCCATATCATGAATGGACTTTGATTTGGATTCAAGTTCAACATTGAATCGGTCAAAACATTCCAACATATCCTTTTGAAGTTTGGCTCGAAATGTGAGTCCTATATCGGTAGCTAACTCACTATCCATTCGTTTTTGCCGTCCAATTTGTCTTTCGGTGGGATTTTGTCTTTCAATTCAATCTGACAAAAATTTATTTCTCTTAGTACACAATTCCAAATGAAAAAAATGGTGGTATTTAATACCACCATTTTTCCATAATATATGGATCCATATGAATCCATAATATATGGATATATTTAATACTCTGGTATTAAAATTTTCTTGTTGATGACATAATTCCTCAATTGCAGTAACAACACTATACAAAATGTTCTGCCACTACTTTAACTGCAGCATAGTGAGCACTCCAACGGGTTGTAGAAAGTCGTTTAACATATGCTGTGCTGTGTTTAATAAGCACTTCCCAGCGAGTAATGGAACAGAAAAAAATATGAAAATTGCGGTTTGGTGTGTTCACAAAATTGAGTAAAGTTACAAATAAACGATTCATTCTCTTGTGGTCTGATCTCTTCGGGTGAACGGGTGATACCCGGGGCGAATCGCTACTCCCGCCCCACCCTAGTTACGCCACTGGTTAATGGTTATTAATTGTTTGTATTAAACTGTTGGATTGAAAGATCTTTAATTATGATGTATTATGATGATTTATTAACTCTTCCAGCTATTGTTACTAATTATTTTTTATTTATTTCAGATATTCAAGATGTCATTCACTGCAATGTATGTCCTATTTCTCACTATCCTGTTGATGTCAACAACGCACGCCTCAGCCGCCTCAGCACTAGGTTGCCCAGTAGGTTGTATGTGTAATGACGATACCTTTGTAGTTCAATGTGAAAGAAGCAAACTGGACGTCATACCAATTACACTGAACCCAGCAATACAAAGACTGGTTCTGAGGAACAATAAAATAAAGACTATAGACGCAGCTTTTCAGTTTTATAAAGAATTACAGTACGTTGATTTGTCAAGTAACCATCTGGTTAATATTCCCATGAGGAGCTTTGTTAACCAAGAAAAATTACAGGAACTACACTTAAACAAAAACAAGTTGTCGTCAATAAACAATAAAACCTTCCAAGGGCTTAAATCTTTAACTGTACTTAATCTTAGAGAAAACTTCCTCGAAGAATTACCCAAAGGTTTGTTTTCTATACTGCCAAAGCTAGAAGAGCTTAACTTGGGCCAAAATAGGATATCAAAAATAGATCCTTTAGCTTTTGATGGACTGTTAACTCTACGAGTACTTTATTTAGATGATAATTCATTAAGCTCAGTACCGACACACGCGTTTTCTGTTCTCGGAAGCCTAGCTGAACTACACGTTGGCCTCAATGGATTCACGATCTTACCAGATGACGCTTTTCGTGGCCTAGGAAGACTGTCCGTGCTAGATATAAGCAGTGGGGGACTTTCCAATATCAGTACTGATGCCTTCAGGGGTCTTACAGGGTTAAGAATGCTGAATTTGGCTGATAATAGACTTCAGTCCATTCCTACGATACAATTGGCCCATTTGACACGATTAGAAGACTTAACGATTGGTCAAAACGAGTTTGTTAGGCTGGATAAAGGTGCTTTCAAAGGACTAGCCAATTTAAGGAAAATAGATATAACAGGTAAGTTTTTGTGTATTAAATATTTATTTTCACTTATCACTGTGCAGAATTTAAGAAAATCTTAATTATTTAAAAGTATTTACCTTATCTATTTACTTAATCTTATATTAGGCTTTAGATCTATTCTTGTTCGACCATAGTCGTACTTGTGACGTTGACAGACAGCTATCTAGTAATCTTTTAAGAGGTTTTTCTGAGGTCTGGTTCTTATTAGTCTCCTTTATTAATATCCCTTGCTATTCGGGATAATCATTCGTGCAGCATGGTAAATGCATTTCCGTCTTCTCTATGTTTCTCGTCATATAATATCCTATATTTTACAGATATCTCTTATTTGATTATTTGGTATTTTGTTTTTTAATGCTTTCCTAGCAATCGATTTCAAGTTTCAAGTATTTTTTTTTGTTCTGTAGCTGCTTTCGTTTTTGACGCATGCCATGATTGGCCTTCCATGTTATTTATGTATCGGTACTTATAATATCTCATATAAGCTCATATCCTTATTCTTCAAGATGAGACGCATTAAAATACTAGTGCATAAGCCGATTTGTACAAAAATGCGTGTACATATGTGAAATTATTATTATAATTTCAGAGTATGAGAACTGTATTAAATGGGGCTAGTTCAAAATAATTAGGAGACGTAATAAACTGTTATACAGATAATACCCAAATCAAGTTAAGTAATTCTTAAAAAAGCTTACCAATATCGCGATATCGCTTCTATTCGCGATATAGGCGGTTGTTTCTCGTACGAGGAGAGCTGTCTTTAGCCGTTTTTACACAAGTGTCTCGCGGTACTACACATAATACGAATGCCAGAAAATACCATTGCTAAAAAGCTAACCACAGGAACACCTGTAGGAAAAAGAAGCAAAGGCCGACCGCGAATTACGTGGTTAGATGAAGTAGAAACCGACTTAAGAATATTAAAAATCAGAAGATGGCAACATGTTGCCAAAAACCGAACAGAATGGCGACGAATCTTAAAGCAGGCCAAGATCCACAGAGGATTGTCGAGCCAAAGATGATGATGATGATGTCTCGCGGTACTGTTTTTTGCTAACTAAAATATAGAAATATCACGTTTATCAGGCACGAACACTAAGATCGAAGAGTTAAGCACACTGCGTCTTTTGTCTATAGTCTATGCTATCGGAACAAAAATCAGAGAGAGGTGTCAAAACATGCCTTTTTGACAGACACAGGCAGAGCTGAAAGAAAAGCGTGTATTGCTACCGGTAGTCAACAGTCGAGAGACAGTTTATTTTTAATTTTCCAAGGTATGTCCAGAGAACTACGATGTTGTGTTCGTTAGTTTTCTCGTATGTCTGTATTTCTTGAGTGTGGGGTTAGAGTGAGAAGTAGGAATTATTACTAAGGGTTGGATTAAGGTAATGATTTTTAATATTAAGGTTGAGAATTATAGGAATTAATACAGCGAAAACTATAACATGGTTTTTTGCATGTGAAAAACTGAATACGTTTGCTATTTTTTTACACTCTCTTCAAGGTTGTCGTAGCTGAATATTTTTATTCCCAGATACCCGAATTTCCATCCAATTTCAATTTTTCGATTATTTCATCAATTAAAATTTTCCATCGTTTGTGTTTTCTTGATGTTTATATTATGTTTTAGTCATTCTTTTAAATGTCTTACCATTCACTGTTGTTATGTTGTTTATTATTATTTATCAACACATCATGAGCGTACATTAAACAGTATTACATGTCTTCTAAAAGCTCTTATGATTTGTTATCTAATATTAATGAAAATAAATATGCGCTTAGCTAAACCTTTTATATAATACTAATGTCTTAATGCTGCTTTAATACTTAATTTATATTTTTTATTTTTAGGTGCAAACAATCTCGAATATATAGAAAAAGGTGCCTTCAGCGAAAACCTTAACCTAGAAACGATCATCTTGGTCAGCAACAAGAAACTCGCTACACTTGAAGATGGTGCACTGGTTGGACTGCCAAATCTGAGACACTTAGTGCTACGAGAAAACTCATTTCGAACACTCTCAGAATCGATTACTAGCTGGAATGAACTGAGAGGTTTGGAACTCACAGATAACCCCATCAACTGTGATTGCCAACTACTTTGGCTTCTAAATTCCATTAACTCAAAAAACATAACAAATGTTCAGTGCTCTACTCCCTTGCAACTCCGCGATAGACCCTTGAGGACACTAACTCCATACGATTTAGGCTGCTCGTTTCGCGATAATAGGCAACAAGCGATCATCATTACTTTTTGTGTCAGTGCCACCATACTGATTGGAATTTTAGGGTTGTTTCTTTTTCGTTACCGCCAAAGGGTAGGAGAAGCTCTTAAAGATTACAAATGGAACAAGCGAGCTATAAGCAGAAAAGAACACGAATACCAGAAGACTTTTTCTGACGAAGATTACATCACTCGTACTGGACAACACCATATCAAACCGATTCCGGTGACGGAATTGTAGCTAGAGCTTAGCGCGCCACCTTCTGGGGTAAGCATTTTTATCATTATGTATTATAATGTATGTACACCCCTATTGACAGTGGGCTATTCTCTCCGTGCGTGACTGACGCGACATCTATTTCCTTCATCTGACAATTTTGGACCTCCCAATTTGAGGTTAAATATGTTAAAAACATACGAAATTGACAATTAAATTAAAAACGCAACATGTATTTGCACCCATTTTTGATAAAATTCATGCGTAAAAAGGTCTAATTTTGTCATATTTCGCCGGTACACACGCTGGCATCGTTTCAAGGTACCCCTATCATGGTTACACACGGAGCGAATACGCTAGAACTAAATTAGTATGATTTCTTTAGAATGTACCTACCTTAGTGTGGTATAAGTAGTTATTGCCTCATAAAACAATCAATATTTTGTTTTGATGTTTACAAAATCGGTACATTATTTTTACTAAATTGAAGCGTTTTTAGGTATTCGCATATTGTTTAAAATTATTTCAATATATTTTATTCTATGTATAATTCTTAGCAGTAAAATTGAATTGTCTAGACGGCAACCCTGTCAGCCCTCGGCAAAGTCGTTACAAATTTACCACCGGATCCGGCTCGAAGGACCAAGAAATTGTATGTTTAAATTGTTGATTTAAATTGACTGGTCGCTGGTTAATCTGGATCGCTGGATAGGGTGAAGAAATAACTTGTAAAACCAAATCTCTTCACACGTTCCTTATTGAGTGCTCTTATGGCAACATATGGAAACATACTGTTTTTTGTATATTTGTAACGACTTTGCCGAGGGCTGACAGGGTTGCCGTCTAGACAATTAAATCTTATTGCTAGGAATTATACATAGAATAAAATATATTGAAATAATTTTAAACACATATCTGTGTGGTCCACTACGCACGTGGTCAATTCTATGAAACGAGCAAGTTTTCCCTACTGTTTCTCTTTTTAAAATAAAGATATCCCAATATATAAACAAGTAAAGCCATGCATCTACTCTTTACAATTTTATGCGAGTATATGATTGGTAAGGATGCTAGAAGTGCGGCATCTTTTCTTTTTTATTACTTTTTTTCTGGATTTAAAGCTCATGTATCATCTTCCACAATCACTTCCGCTATTTTTACAATTTATTATTATTTGACATCCGTCATTTAACCGTGGTGACCAACTTGGTACAAGTCCACTTGGTCCAAGTTGGAATCCAAGCTTTCCAAACCGCCTTTAGGACAAGAAGCTAGTGAATATGTGAATAGAGAGGATCTAATGGTGGCAGTGATAATTGGAATGGTGTTGTTTAGCGCTATTTCACATTAGTTTGTCTGTTTGATCAAACAGAAGCAGCCTATTCAGCTACTGAAAAGAGCAGACCAAAGTAGATCCACATCGCTCACACCAATGGAATATATTGTTTTGGGTTCTTATTTAGCAGCAAGTTTTGTTCTTTGAATGCCAACGCTTTGTCTAATATGACATCCTGACTCTTCGGGCATCTGTTGTACAACAACATGCCTCTGTCTTGTTTACATTTGAGTGCAGGCTCCATTTCCGAGAGTAGCTTTCAAGGGTTACGGTTTCAGCTATTAGGGTTAGTTCGGTTTCTTTATAGTTTTGGTGTTTAGTTTAGGTGGCTATTTTCTAGTCGTCTGCATATCTGAGCTTCTTAGATTGTGTATTGAGCATATCTGCAATACACAGGCTAAACAATCGCTGCCGAGACAGAGCCCTGGGAAAAAACTTTATAAAAACTTTTTAAAAAATATATAAAACATTATATTCTTAACTGTTGGAAAGACATTAGATGTTTACTCCATCATGATCAGGCCAAACATTTTGCTATAAGCTATAAGTATAATTACTGTGAACATTTTTTATTATAAAATTTTATATAAACAAATAAAGTACTTGAAAACTATCTGAAATTATTTAGTTTAATAATTTCTGCTTTTTTTTAGGTTTTCTGTTTAGATGGAGAGGGTAGGCGTGCTGCTAGGGGCCCTCGGGGCACCTTACCCGCCACTGGATTTACCTACATCACCGGTGATACATGTCGAGCACATTCGTTACGTTCACTTAAAGATACCAGAAATGGTTTGCCGAAATGCCATGTGGACTTATACCAGCATTAGTGCTCAAATGACTAAAAAACGAGCAATAACAAATTGAATCCATTCCAGTGTGTGATCTATCGAGTTTAGAGACTGTACATTAGCTGCTATCTATTATATTATTATTTTCTTGATATGACTGACGTGCATAATGAAACAGATTATTTTGTTTTCCTGGCATAAAACTCTTTATTACTATCTTGTTTTAGTTCATTATAAATAGTAGTCTTCGTTGACTCAAATATGATTCCATTATCTATTAGTTATGTATTTTATAAATTCACTTTAAAACCCAAAAGCAAGATGATTATATAATAAAGGAAAATGTCTGTATAACTCTGGTTACAGTGTTATCTGCAAAACAGGGTACCTACATACTATTTATCTATCTATCATTAACTGCTCTAATTATGTAATACATATTTTTCTTTGGCTTTCATCTGTTATTTTTTAATATCTTTTTAACGTGTTTAGAAATAAAATCTGATTCATCATGCACTTAGTGGTTTTATTTCGTAAGCAATCTGTGATATAAATTTTACCAGTAAGTTGAGTTTCTGTGTGAGTCTTATTTAATCGCCAATTTTGCCATAAAAATTAGTACCTAAGAAACAATTGTTATTGTTCTATAATATTAAGGTTCACTTTTATTACACAACCTTGTGATGTTTGTTTTAAACAGAAGTTCATTCTCATTAGAAGTAAAATCTGTTACACTTTCAGTTATCAAATTACACTTGTATGCTTTGTGTATACATGTGTGCATAAACCAATTATATATCCTTATAAATGAAGATACTAGCAATTGAGTTTTTGTTTTATGCTATTTATGAAACGAGGTTATCTTCTAAATGTAATTGTTTTCTTATCTCCAATTATCATGACTCACCTTTTTCATTCTCTACCTTTATAAATAGACTTAGTGTGTTTATTGCAGCTATCACATATTTCTTATGAAATGAAATAAATTTTGAGGTTGAATGACTATACAGGTTGACGTATTCTGATAAGTAAAGAAATGGGCAAATGAGGTCATAAACAAATATAAATATTGAAATATTGATCCAAAAATAAACCTTTATTTAAATCACAGACCTATTTAAACGCAATGTTAAATATTGTTTTGATATGGTATTAAAAACTTATAAGTGGTGCAGGGCTAATATTATTCAGGTGTTTGTTATATTCTACATCATATTTAAGGGTCTAATTTGTTACCTTTTTTTATAGAATAGGTTAGCAGAAACATAGACCAATCAAGTTGGTAAAAAAATTCCGTTACAACTGTATAGATGACAAAATGTATACATACTAATATAATGGCGACTAAGAGCACATAAACGAGTCATAGGAAGACCACAAAAAAGATGGATCGACGAGTTTAAAGAACAGGTAGAAAAAAGCTCATTATAGCTCAAGACAGGCGAACATGTAAAACACAAGGGAAGGCCTATGCCCAGAAATGGACAAGAGGAGGCCTATATTCAGAAATGAATAAGAGGGGGGCTGTTAAAAAAAGGAAGAAGTCCATTCTGATGTTTGCTAATATTTATTACATTTGCGAAAACGTTGGAACAGTGCATTTTTCGAACCAGTCTATGTTTCTCTAAGGTGTCAAATGTTTCCATTACATAAAAAATTAAACGATTTTGCAACATCAATGGAAACATTAATCATATAAATAAAATAAACTAAGTAACGATGAAGAGTTTTCCAATTAGTCACAATTCATTAAATATTTGTTCAAAATAATATCCGTTAAATTACATATTGCTTTCCATTTTCAAAAAATATGGAAATATTCTCTAGTAGAAGGTATGACACTTGAGAGTACTTTGACCTGTTCTTGCCTGATTCTATCGAAAACCTTCTTGTGGTCAATCAGGCATGCAAAATCATCACAGATGACACTAATGATAATTAATAAATTATTATTAGTGTGACTTCAGAAGAGGATGGTAATGCTGAGCTATGTAGCTAATTGATATTAGTTGTCGGGAATAGGTATAAAAAAGCAGGGTAAGAATATTAAATGACTTAAGGTTGGAAGGTATATGCTTTACTGACTATGCCGTTACACGGCTTAATGTACAGGGATGTACAATATGTCACGTGATAGGGACAAATACAAGTTTTGTATTCAAAAAATACCTATTGAATTGATATAACTGTTAAATACTCATAGATCCAGATAACTACTTCCAGGCTTTGACACATTAGCGGAACATAGCGAAACAAATAAAACATATATGCCTAAATACTCTATGGAAGTGCCTGTGTAATGATTATACCTTCTACTATGGTGTATTCCATATTTAAAATTAGCAAATTACTATATTAGCTGATATGCATTTTTTTTTAATGTTATATTGCAGCTTGTTTGTATTTCTGCAGAAACTACATTTGGGAATATTTCACTAAATGAACTTTATAGAAATCCTCAAAGAGTGCAGGTTTTTTAATTGTGCATTGCAATCGATCTTACATGGGTTCTAGGTTACATATATTTACTTGAGCATGTACGAAGCCAACGTGTAAAGAGAAAATGTCTAAAAGGCATAAAAGGTTGTACAGTACCTAGATGTGATGCAAACGACTTTAAAAATCAATGGTGAATAAGTAGTTCTCTAAATTTAGGATATCATTACACCCATTCTTTTTTACTTGTCAAACTGCTCATTAAGTCTTTACTTATAAGAATATGTCACCCTATATAAAGCGTAATGTATGCATGAATAATTCGCGTAATTTCTCGGAGTTATACAATATATTTCATGGTGTAATACAGATATATGTATTATATTTAATGGCTGTAAAGGTTCAGATGTATATACACGTATGTCCTTCTGATGGGTTAGTTAGTTAGTTAAAGATGTTTGTGA